AAAATAGATAAACGTTGAAAAGAAAAAAAAAATAAAAAAATAAATCATTTTTATTTTCTTCATTAAAGCAAGTACTCTAAAAATCTCCTTTCAGTGAATATTTTGTTAGCTTAGTTTGAGCTATTATATATAATTAAAACGAGAGATTCTCTGCTCAATTATGAATAGTTTGTATTTCATACTTTTCGTAAATTTTTCTGGTTTCCTCCATCAACGTGAGGTAGGCTTTGTGGTTTTACTTGTGATTTTCTTGAAGCGTATTGATTTACATTTCTTTCTTTCTTTTTTTTTTTTTTTTAGTTTACTTATTTATTTTGAGAGAGAGAGAGAACATATAAGCAGGGTAAGGGTAAGGACAGAGAAAGAGGGAGGGAAAGAATTCCAAGCAGTCTCCTCATGGTCAGTGCAGAGCCTGACGCGGGGCTCGAACTCACAAACTGTGAGATCATGACCTGAGCCCAGATCAAGAGTCAGATGCTTAACTGACTGAGCCATCCAGGTGCCCCTGATGTACATTTCTTTGGAGTGTGCTGGTGGTGAACTGCCCATAAAACATGGGAGGTATATATATTTCCCAATATAACCCTACACAGTCACATATATGTGAATATACGCATTGTTTAATATTTAGAATATATTTAAATCTCTAACTTCTACAGGAACGTATGGAAGAAAAAGCACACATGTCTAAAATGTCATGTTTCTCTCCTGGCCTGCAGTATGATTTCTATGTTTGTGGACAGTTGGATTTTCACAAGCGAACTACGAGGTAGGAGGCAGTACACGGAAGATGAATGAGCATTGACTCCGGACCACGTATACACTTGCACCCCGCCCCAACACGTTCATCTCGTGTTCCCTTAACTCCACTGGTTGTAAATGAGCTACAAGATATGGGAAGCAAAAACAATATAAAAACAGGGAGGGGGGCACAACGTAAGAGACTCTTAAATATGGAGAACAACAGAAGGTTCTGGAGGGGTAGTTGGGGGGGGCAGATGGGCTAAATGGGTAAGGGGCCTTAAGGAATGTACTCCTGAAATCACAGTTGTACTACATGCTAACTAACTTGGATGTAAATGAAAAAAATAAATTAAAAACAGATATGAATTGAGGCCATCTCCTCTATGACAATGCAAAATTCATTAATTTTGAATTTCAAAGCAATTCTTCAATCTACAACCCTCCCTCAGCATAAGGAATGTCTGTTAGGCCCCAGGGCCAGGCAGCCAGGCCTCAGAAACACAGGCCCCGCCCCTCGCCCCTTGCTGACCCCACAAATTCCCCAGGCCTGCAAAGAAGCAAGAAGACTGGTGGGCACCTCTCCCATGTGGCCTGAAGTGAACCTCCCTTCACTCTGCTCAGCTCTCAAGGCTGTTCCAGAACCTCCTCCTGGACGTTCAGATAGCAGCTCTGAGGATGGGCGTGTGGAGCCCCGGGAGACCTCTGGATGGGGCTGAGGGCCTTTTCGTATCCTGAGCACATCTGTGAGCTGAGGGGGCACAGAATGTCACTGGCAGAGGAGCTCCGAATTCCAAATC